TGCATACTGTGTATCACTATATAAATTGTGAACCTGATGTCCTATAACACTTTATTACTCTTTCTAAATACACAGAGTTAAGGACATTACATATTTATCATACTGTAGTGGAGTCAGACCACTTCTGAAAACACACAAACTGATACATGTAGGCCCCATATTTCAAAAGTCAGTGGTGATATGGAGTAGGTCAATTTAGGGTGTTCAATGGGAGGCAACTGTAGAGTGTTTGACTGATCAGAAGGCAAATACTTAGACACTTTCTGAAAATCAAAGTCCTTTTAAGTAGGAACTCAGAAACCCAAAGGTACTGAAGATCTCTAGTCACTGGTATAATTTATCATGGCTCCATTAAAACCAATTAATTTCTGATGATGATTTCTGATTTATACCATAACTTGGCCCTCAATTTTAAAAGATGGTATAGAAAAGAATCCCCCAACTATAGTCTCTTCTAGAGTTATTTCATTCTCTTCCACTTGGAACTTCTGTTGTGGTCAAATTAATGCTGGAAAATCAGTAAGCAACTAGCTCCATTTAGCTAATAGCAAATGATGAATTACTTGCTATTCAGGGATTATGGTCTGAAGTTTGTCTATAGAAAAATGATGTTGGGTTCCATGTCAGTTTTCTCTCCACAACTTCCAAATCAAAGCTGAATATGAATGGAGATTTTTCATGAATATAAATGGAGATTTTTCTAATAACACTAAAAGTTCACCTAAGTTTGAAGACAAAAAAAACCTGGTTGCCTCTCATTCAGTGATGAAGATGCTACAAGACTTCCAGTTACACCACTTCTATTATCGCATCAACTGTATTATTGCAAAAGCCCAAAGAAAATCTCGTTTACTCTCTAATGCTTGTACTTGTGGTGCTAAAAGGACATTAAAGATTGGCCTGGGGTTATGATCCACATATATTTTTTAATAGGCATTCTTCCTGGCATGGCCATAGCCTCACATATATTTAGCCTTGATTGTTTGTGCCAGGAGTAAGCTGTTCTGCATGGTTATAGAATATATGTGTATACATCATATGTATTACCACGTAAATAGAGACACCAGATTCAGCATCAACATAAGAACTTACAGTCTTTGAAACCAAGATCACAAGGCCTCAACTGCTTGAGCCCAAGGATTGATTCCTCTTAGCTGTACACTTCAGGTTCTTATCCTCAACATGAGCAAAGGACTTCACTGGGATATAATCATAACAGCTAGCCAGTATGTTGCATGCTTTCTTAGGCAAAGTTAATCCCAAATGGTTGACAGGACTTCAAGTCCCAGCAGTGGTGCCAATTTGTAATGACCTTGATAGCTCTTCCTTGTGAAGAAACAGGAGTCTATCAGTGAGGGTACAATCAAAATGTTAAATACTGAAAGCAGAAACCCATATCATATGGGCTCAAGGAGTTTCTTATCCCATTGATAAGGTAGGCCTGTGGATGCCCAAAATGTAGCTGTAGGCTCATTATACAGGTCTCTGGGGCCACAATCAATTTAGATAGCCAAAAACTAAATTAAGTTTTTCAGCATTACTATGCACTTACTTAGCAGAAAAAGAAGGGGGGACCATAACTGAAGTATTAGAAGATGCTACAATATACTGCCATTTTATTGTGTGTATGTCTTTAGCAAGTAATGCAAGAATTCAGAGCCCGAACTGTGTCATATTAGATGCACACTGCAGATTACTTGGAACTTCTACATTCATATAATGATATGGCATTCTGGATGCTCCTGGTTCTTTCCAGATGAGAATGAAACCAAGGTTTCTGGCCAGAGGATCTGACTAATTAAATTAGCTGCTAATGTAAACAGAAATGACAAAAGAACTTGAGTGGAAAGAGGGAAGCATTATTTATAACGTATTCTGAGAAATGAAGCTCTTTCTTCTTCTGTTTCCTCTTCCTCTTTTTAAATGGAACAGGCATGAAGCAAATAGCAGACTGCATGAGGGCTGAGATTAGTGTTTAGAAAGCAAACTGAAAGGGAGAAAAAGATTCTCAGAAGGAAATGTTTTGGCACAGAGGAAGGAACCTGCTCCAAATGTAGCAACCATATGGATGGAGGTAAATGTGAGAGGAGGGCACATTAAATATTTAGCAAAATACAAGAACACAGGAGTGGGTACAAAAATGATTAGAGCTGTAAAACACAGAACATAGAGGAGCGTGCAGTTTTGGAGGTGAGAAAGAATAGAAGGTAGGTGCAGAAGTAAATGGGTTGTTCTTGAGAGATGGGGGCCCGAGGACAGGGGTTTTGTGGTTCAGAACAAAAGAAAGTGATGTCAGATGCTGCATTCTGAATATACCATAGCAATTAACAGGTATTGAAATACAGGAGGTCAGAGGAGGAAAAGTTAGGGAGGCCAAGGTGAAGGAACCAGATTTTTAGCCTAGGGACAGAAAAGAATGGTAAGAATCTGCATGAATGAGGAGAAAGGTGAAGGTAAGACTGAGAATGACACCAGAATTGCAAGTCCGCCATGAAAAAGTCACAAGGTGCAGAGACTGGAAAGAAATTTGATATAAAGCCTCTGATGTGAAATTGCTAATAATCATGAAGATTATGTTGCTTTTGTAAACATGTAACATACTTGCTGGCTGAACGTTTATCCCTGTTGGATCAAGAGTAAAGCTGGAACTATGGGCTTTATGTAGGACTCCAGCTTTGACAAATTATGATTTCTTGCATTGGGATTTATTGTATAAAATACATGTAAATGCACAGTGGGGAGAAGGGGGAATTTCAGGAAAATCAGTATTGATCTGACAGTACTCCTTTTAAAATCAAAGGGAAAGCTTCCACTGATGCTAATGAGATCAGTCCAGCCACTGTTTCATGCTTTTGAAATTCCAACACCAGGTGTCTCTGTGTGCATGCTGGATAATGTTGAATAGAACATTACAATGTGCAACCCTGTTTTATAGGCATTGTGCTGGCATGAGTTTAGGATGGTTGCATTTAAGTAAGGAAGCTGCCAAATGAGTTAGGCCATTACTGTAAGCGTCAGTAAAATGTCTAGATCAAGCATTTGTAGTCAGCACTGTATTGTTAATATTGTATAAAGAAGGATATTAGAAATATTTCAGAAACCTAAGGAATGTTGCTGGAAGTAAAACCAGGCTGACTTAGTTACTTTGATTCCAGCTGTGGAGGTTCACATGGGAGAAGACTGCACATCTGTGTGTAGGTTCTTGCATGCATTACCATGTACTAATTTATTTTCTTCATTTTTGTCTTAAATTCCTGTATATTTGGTCATTTGGCATGGATTACTACAGTCTGTGTTTTGTCTCAATCCTTTTCTGCTTACTTCATTCCTGAAATGGGCTGATTTAGATTGGGATCTGAGTGCACCTATACACGTGCTCCAACGTGTTCTGATTAGAATATGTTCTGATACAATCAGAATGCTCCAGCATGCTGCAGCATCTTGTGTATTCAGCTCCCTTTCTTCTGCTCTGCAGAGAAGCTAAATCATTGTGGAAAAGACAAAGGTGTAGGATTTGTCATACTGGATCAGCTCACTGCTGCATCTAGTTCAGAAATACCACACAGCAAAATGCGTGGCATCGGACGTTCTAGCAGAAGGCACTTACACTCCCCTTCCACCCCATAACTCACCTTGGAAATTATTCAGTGTAGTACTTAGGGAGAAGGTGGGAACACTCCTACAGTGATGTTCTAAAATCCTGAGACATGAACCTTAAATTAAAAATAATGAGTCAGATCTTCAGTTGTAATTTAGCTTTGCTTTATTTGATTCACATGGGCTATATCCAGCTACATGTGTTGAGTTCAATATCTTCAATAATGATTTATGTTTTTCTTTCATCCACACTTTATTATACACACAATTATTATGTACAGATTTGTTTGCTTGAGCAATTATAAATATGTTACTGGTTTTTTAAGAGCTACAATATCCATTCTGAGTTTCATGTTGAAAAAAATATGATTTCCAGGTGTGAGCTTTGCCAGCATATTTGAAAGCAATAGGAATAAGTTTTTTTCCCCCTAGAGATAGTCAACAGACTAAAGCTTCAGTTTTTACTGCTACTCTTCTATGTGATGTTTTCTCTCAGTCTTGCTTACTCTGACTAGAAATATGAGACTGTAACCAACTTCTCTTTCTGCTTGAAAACGTGGAGAAATGGTTGGGTCAAAGTTGATCTCACTTGCAAGACTTGGTGACATTTCAAGTTCCAACAGTCCTTTCATCTTCAGGGAACACAGACCAGGCATTGTATGACATTCTTGAAATCTAAGTGACTCTTAATTCAATCTAGTTATACAAGAGTGAGAAGTTGTACTTTAATATCAAAGAGGCTTGCAATGAGGGAGAAGCAGCAAGTTGAGACAGAATATGAGATTACTCTAAATTCCCAAAATTAAAATAAAACCTTTGAGATTTGAAACAATTTGGTTAACTTTGTTCCCCGGTTTACACTCTACTTTGTTTCCTCAGATTAGAGGAAGATACAGAAAAGATTTGACAGAGGGCTTTTTTGGCTCTTGCTGTACAAAAGATCATATGGAGCAACAGGCCCCATGATATTTCCTGCCAGATTTCTAGATCAGAGAAATGTGTCTATGTTTTGGATGAATGTCCAATACTAAATTAAACATTGAATGCTGGATTTGAATCTTGTGTAAATCAGCATGGTTCCACTGAAGTCAGTGAAGCCAGGCTGATTTCACCAGCTTGTGTTTGGAAAACTACTTTTCATGGGTATCTTGTACATCATCAGTTTTCTCTCATTGCTGCTTATATGTCCTGAGGTTTACAGATGTATAGTTGAGGATTTTTTGACTGCAGCTCTCAGCCAAACTAAATGATCCTGTGGTACTCTCATTCTAATTATTATTGGTTGGTTAAAAATTTGAGGTAAAGAGTGGATACTTGGATTCACTGTAGCTTTTAATTCCCTATCTTAAAAAACAAAGTAATTCACTTTTAAGGTAAATATTTCTCTCTCTCATTTCTCTTAGATACAGACTTGAAAAGACTGATACTATTCGCTGTATCAAGTCTTGCCGACCAAATGATGTCAACTGTGTTCTGGATCCAGTCCACACAATTTCTCACACTGTCATTTCACTACCCACGTTCAGAGAATTCACAAGACCTGAAGGTTAGTGGTTAGTTCTTCCTTCTATTTAATAGTCTACAATGTTTAAAAAAATTAATTGGAAGTGGAAATCACTGCTTAAAGCCAGGGTCAGTAAAATACTTGCACAATCCCAAATTATAGCATTGCATTTATTTAATTAAAACCCTTTGTACTCAGAAATTTATAACTTTGTGGGGTAAGAATCAGTTGTAGCTCTAATTCACCCAGGTCTCCAGCCTAGAAAAGGAATTAGTCTAGAATTCTCATTTACATTCAGATCTCTCTATATTGTTCAAATAGTGTAAAATGGGAATGGGGTTAACATGAATTAGACCTTTGGGGATTTTTGTTTTGTTTTGGTCTGAGGGTTTGGGGTTTTTTTTGGGGGGGGGGGGGCATTGTTTGTATGTTTATTTTGATTTCAAAAAAAGGTTTGAGAGGTTTTTTTCAGATGAAAAAGAGAAGTCACCACTTTTCACAGGTAAAAGTTATCAAAATCAACAATCAGCTCCCATTGAATTTGACTGGGCCAACATTTCATTCTGACTGTTTTAAAGATGAAATTTACTAGGCACTTTTTCAGTCAGTTTTTACCATTTGGAAAAATGGTTACGTACCTTTCATATTTAAATACTAAATAAACTAACGGAGACCATAAAGGGTTGATAGGAATGATAGAGATTTTCATTTGGGATTTTCAAAAGCACCTAAGTGCATGAGGAGCACAAAAAAATCATTGAAAGTCAATAGGATTTATTCTCCCAAAACAAATGGCCTGCTTTGAAAATCCTGGCCTTCATCTCCAAGTTACTGACTCAAATTCAATCTCAGGCAGTAGTGGTTAAATCTTGTTATTGTCTCATTGCTATTTGGTTAACAACATGAAATGAATTGTTGATCTTTGTATAGTTAAAATATTCTACATCATAAAAATCAGCACCGCATGGATGCACCCTTGCATTTTGTCATAAACAAGACATAGAGCATCTTTCTCCCCTCTCGCCACAAGGGTTTAATTCGGTTTAGTTCTCCCTAAATTGAAACAGTGCGTTTTTAAAAGCACCACTTCAATTTAGGGAGAATTATACTGAACGAAACCCCCATGGCATGTATACAAGGGTGCGGGCCCGATCCTTACCTGCCTCTTCAGCAGCGGGGGGGAAGGGACAAGCTGTCCTTGAGCTGTGTGGGGGCCCCCAAGATGGCATACTCCCATTGGCACCTGGCCTAGGTGGTCCCGGGGGCCCCACAGCCATGGAGGGAACCGCTGGCTCCCTCGCAGTTCCGAAGCAAAGTACCGGGCCCCCACACAGCTGGGGAGGAAAAAAAAAAGATCAGGCTTGCTGTTTTAAAAATTTTTTTTTCTTCAGTGGAGCCTGCCTGCACGGGCTGCCACCGAGTCCCACAGCCCTGAGCTGCGCAGGACCTGCCAAGACCCAGGCACATCGGCTTCCAGCGCCCCGTGCACTGTTGCATTTTGTTAGGCAGCAAACTAAAACATGTTGAAGGTGTTTTATCTTGCTACATACCGAAGTCATTTAAAGTGGAATATGCCACCAAACGTGCAAACAGCAATGCCATTAAAGTGGTGCAAAACGGCATTTAAGCCACTTTAAAGGCCAATTTTGTGGCATGTACAAAGGCCCTACACAAACATTACTTTCACTTTTGACACTCGGATCTTGTACTTGAGGCCAAATATTATTCTTTGACCTTTGTACACAGTTTCTGCTGACTTCACTTAAAACTGCCTGCACACTGATGAATAAAATTTTGCTCATGTGCAGAATGAGCATTAAGTAATGCTTTCAGATCTGGATGTAAAACCTTGGCTGTCATCTGCATAAGGCACATGAAAATTTCTTCTTCACCTCCTATCTGATGTGATTCTTTTCCAAAGGGCTATTTGTCTCAGTAGAAGACTTGTACTTAGTTGCTAGTTTCCTGTTAGGTTTCCATAGCACATTTAATTGCTGTTGGAGATCCTCGTAGTGCCATGTCAAGTTTTATCATCTGTTTTCAAAGCCCCTGTAGACTGATGTAAAAGAAAGCCCAGAGTCTTCTGGGATTCCTCACAGTTGTTCTCCAAGAGATTTTAGAATAGATTCATCTGTAATAAATTTACTCAACCCTTAGTTAAAGGAAAAGCTCATGGTTCCCTTCAGTCACTATGCTCCAGTGGTGATAGATACTTCAAGTGGTCTGGTCAGGCTTCAAAAGACTTCATGCCCTTGACTGCAGGGCTTGTAAAAATGGTGCCTTAGGATAGGAAAAGAAAAAGAAACAGCAGAATCTGGATGAACTCCATGAGCCCTCACCAAAAAATGTTACTGTATCCATTCAAAAAGGAAGAAGAACGAAATAAACATTTAAACTAATTTTCAAATAAAACAGACTATTATCTTTTGTTCTACACAATTAAAATTGAGAACTTATAGATACTTGCCTTGATCATATTATAGTGATGTCAAAGTTGCTGTCATTGCCCTGTAATACAATGTGTGCTGCTTTTGTTCTCAGAGATTATTTTTCTCCGTGCCATTACACCTGCATATCCAGCCAACCAGGCAGATATCATATTTGACATAACAGAAGGAAATCTGAGGGACTCTTTTGACATCATCAAACGCTATATGGATGGTATGACAGTGGGTGAGTGCAGCATTTTTTGTCCACCGTATGCATTAGAACATGTTGCTTTTCTATCATCTGTATAAGAAGATCAAGGTCCAAAGCAGTATGGGAATGTACCTCAGGATAAAGTTGAATAGCTGCATTTGGGGTACATTCCTCCTCCAGTGGGAGGATTTTTATTATAAAGATGATGTTTAATATATTTAGTCTGATCTGATGCTGACTTGGAGACCAGACAGGTCTTAACCTAAATGTAGAAGACCCTTTAAAATATCTTGAGAAACTGGCCAAATTATTCATGTAAATTGTCTCATCGTTAAGAATGTGTTTTGCCATTATAGTATGAATGATTAAAAACACAAAACCTAGGTTCTATCAGCATGCTAGATTTTAATGGTAACATTTTCCCAGTGTTTAATATTTTTTCCTTGCAATAATTTATGATAAATTGTAATTTGTGTTCCAAGATAATTCACCAGTGCTGTAACTTTGAACACAGATTGACCATTTATGAAGGATATGATTATTTTTAGTTTCATAAATGCAAAATAGGTAGGCAGAGATTAAATGTCGGTATGACTAGTATTATGCAGCTTTCTGTCTAGGTTCTATTACCTCAACTGGTTTAAGTGGATGTCTGCATGTATGTAGTGTTGCTTTTGGGTTGGTATAAGAAGGATCCACAGAATCATTTAATTTAAAGGAATTAATACACAGAACATGCAGGAACTCATAGGATCCATTCATGCCTTGAAGCATGAGATTTGATTAGCTCTATTTTATTATTTATTTATTTATGAAAACATATTGCTCTTTTAGTGTTTGTGGGCCAGATTCTGCTTGTAGATTGTAAGTAAAATCCTTTCTAGAGTTCTGTGTATATTGAAATCCTGAAATGGGGCTTTTGAGTCAGTTAAGAACCACACTTAGCATGGTCTGTAGGTGGCACTGTTGCATTAAAGAAACCTGAAGAGGCTCTCTTAATCTTAGATCACTGCAGAAAAACAAGCAGTTAAGATTGCATCTCAGGGCCTTGTTACACAGTAATTTTGGGCAACTCTTGGAGCTCTTAACCCGTGGATTGTCTGCACATTTACACCTTAAAATGGTTTTAAGCACTTGTTACGTGGATCAAAGTTATGCCACTCCAGGGCAGGATTACCTCTGATCTGCACAACCCAGCTCCTGTTTCATTAAGATCTGGCCACTCTCCACAGACATGCCACCCAAGTTGAAGTCCTCCAGTATCCCAGGATCTCTCTTGCACTTCCACCCATAGAACAGGATAGAAGCCTGCCCTGGCCCATCAGCTCTGAGGTGGGAACTTACAGCTACAGCTCCTACTTCTGCCTCTACTTACTAGGCCTCTAATGGAAAGTCCCAGCTGTACAAGTGGGGGAGAGTCAGAGAAAGTTTCTAGACTAAAGGTGTGACTGTTCCAAACTCCAAGCTAGCACTAACACCAATCAACATTACTATAGCTCACACTGTAAGGTATAACAAGGCCCTTAGTCCTTATCAAAGAGAAAGAGACAACCAAATGCAGATTGCCTGTTAAGATTACAGATTCCAGGAATTGTTTTGATTATTTAAAAATTGTAATTAAAAAAAAAAAAAAGAATATAAACAGACCACTCAGGAGCTATAGGTGGAGGTGGCGGTGGAAGGAGTAGGCACACAGGATATTAAGATTAGCATTATTAGCAGAGTAATCTGGACTGGAAAATGATACAATAAATTACTAAGTCAGTAATGTCAGGGAAATCAGGAAGGCAATGACATGAAACCTGAATTAGATGCCATGGAGAAGAAGGAGCCAATGGAGGGATTGAGAGGGTGAGAGTTGGAGGAGGAGAGGATAATACATGGTCTGTCAACAGGCCAGGAAGATGATTGTGGTGCCAGTATTTTACCTAAATGGAATGACAGTTAATATGGGTATAAGAGAGTTAGGCAATAGGGGTGTGCAAAGCAGGCCCTATTTGATTCGGATTTGACCTGAATCAGGGACAGTGATTTGATTTGTTGATTCGAATCACTACCTGATTTGATTCGGCCAAATCCGAATCTGAAGATTCGATGCTGGTTTGGAGAATCAGCAATTTGGACATAGACACAGCTTTAAAAGTTTTTTCTACATACCTTGAGGTACCAGCACGGCTTGTGAATGCTGCGATGCTAGGGTGGATGAAGCATCCCATAGGAGTGCCAGCAGGCCCTCCACTTGCTTGGTGGTGAACTTGGAAGTGGGCTGGAAGTACTTCCGGTCCATTTCCGGGTCCACTGGGGAGCATGCCGGGTGGCCCCTCCAGGTGCCCCCCCCCAGACCCAGGAGGCACACCAGTGGACCCGGAAGTGCTTCTGGTCCATTTCCGGGTCTGCTGCCAAGCACGCTGGGGAGCCCCCCGCACTCCTGTGGGACACTCCATGCGCCCCAGCATCACAGCATTCAGGAGCTGCCTGCTACCTATAGGTACGCAGAAAACACATTTAAAGCTGTGTCTATGTCTGAATCTCCAGATCTTTCTGAATCTCTCGAAATCGATTTGGAAGGTTTCAGTTTGATTTGGAGAGATTAAAGGGTCCTCTGATTTGATTCAGATTTGGAGATTCGGCCACCAAATTGGGCCGAATCTCTGCTGAATCGAATCAGGGACCAAAGTTTCACACAGCCCTATTAGGCAACTACAATATTCAGGGTGTAGATCAGGGGTGGGCAAAATGCGGCCCACTGTGCCATTCTATCTGGCCCGCGAGGCTCCTAAAAAATTTAGAAAATTAATATTTATCTTCCCCTAGCTGCCTGTCATGCAGCCCTTGATGGCTTGCCAAAACTCAGTAAATGGCCCTGCAAACAAAATAATTGACTGCCCCTGGTATAGATGATGTGGGCTTGCTTGAGAACTTATCTAACATAAACAGAATAGAAAGACTATTCAAAATGTTGTTTAGAGGAAGTGGTGAAATATGGATTGCTTTTTGGCTTGAGTTTAGATCCCAAAGTCACAGAAAAGTCACGGGAAAAATGATAATTAGTTTGAATTCAGCAGTAACAGAATACTAGGAATGAAGACGGATTTGGAGAATGAGTTGGTTGCTCACCCATTTTGAATTTGAGTTGATGGTAAGACTTCCAGAAGGAGAACTGAGTGAAGCTGATGGTAGTGTAGGATTGGATGAAGGAAGACCAATCAGGTAGTCGGCTTTGTGATGTCAGCGTAGAGGTGTACAAGCGGGTGATGATGGCTGTGGGGAGGGTGTAGAGACAGACCAAAAAAGAAGAGACTAGAAAAGAAAGCACTGCGCGGTGGACCTGCCAAAGGAAAATGTAAAAGAAAAAAGCAGGAAGCACCAAGACGGACAATGAAGAAATAGCCAGAAAGGTAGTGGGAGCTGAGGAAGGGACAGCAGAGAAGCCAAAGAGGTAAGTTTGGAGTGTAGGCTCTGAAAACTGGCTGAGGGTTAGCAATCTAGACATGTGATGAGCTGATTCAAGTAAGGTGGAAAGGAAAGAAGCCAGAGTGATGAGGCAGATTCCTAGATATGTATAAACTTTCATACTAGTAGCAGAAAGAGAGTATCATACAGGTAGTTGCTTCCAATACTATTACTCCTATTCACATTAGAAGAGTAAACCAAGGACTATACTTTTCCTGTTTCAGAAAGTATTGTAGAGTCCCTGCTGCCAGACATGGTTACCACTTCAGCCTTGTACAGAATCTACAAGATATTTCTAATGACTCTACCTCTTTTGTGAAGCTGGGGAAGGAGGAAACAGAAGCTTACACCCAGCTTGTTTTTTTAGAAACCTTTTATAGACTTTTTGCTGCATACCTCTTTAGCTAGCTGTCAATGAAAAATGAAGAATGCATTTTCAACCTGGAAAAAATGTTCTATTAATGCTGAAGGTATTATCTGATACTATAAAGGTTTTTTCCTCAGTTCTGCATTCATTTTCTTAGGTATCTATAATGCCACCTTGAAGTCTGGTAAATTTCAGTTTTTTAAAAAAGTTCTCAATGCAGTTTAGTATTGTTGTTTGACTTGTATCTTTATGATCAGATTTGATGCAGGACTAAGTATATTCTTGAATTTCAAATACAAATGTTACTTCTGTGAGCAACAGTTTTCTTGAAATAAATACATCTACAGAATTTGAACTGGGTAGATTAAGAGGTTATTTTTAGAGGATATCTAGTTGGTATTTGGACATACAAATTTCAATTAGCATTTTATAGTGGGATACTAACTAGCTGTGATTGTACAAATATGTGGTTTGCCTAGGACACCAACTATAAGCCTATAGGTTAATATAATGCATTAATATATGATATTTTTAAGTTGTGCAACCATATACCACTAGAAAAACATTTAAAGGATTTAATCTTTGGCCTCACATGTAGAGCCAGAAATATCATTTTCAATGCAATTATATGCCTTATTGTGTGTTAATGCTTGATTAGTCCAGCAGATAGAATACCATGATATTTGTAAGATGAGTGCCTCTTTTGCACAAACAAAAGGTATAATTCTCCTCTCACATCAGTTCTGTTGCAATTGTAGTTCCATTAACCTGAGTGGTATCATTCCTTATATACAGCAATATCCATACCTTGTCTTTACTGGCTCTTTCAAGAGCTACTATATTTCAGGGTGTGAATCTTCAACTGTTCCTTAGTGACCTTACACTGGCTTTTTGGATGTTACTAAACTCTGTCCATCCTGGTGTCATGAATGATATTACAGTATCTTTATTAACTGAATTTCAGAGGGAAGAAGCAGATAGAGTTTTTAAAAAGGATCAAAACCTCAACAGAACAAGTGGCATAAAATTGTGTCGGTTATTCAGGTTGTAGCCATATTGGTCTAGAGGAAAAGATGATTAGGACTCGTAGTAGAGATCATATCTTTTATTAGTCCAACAAGACCTCTACAAAAAAATTTCTTTCATTGAACCTTTCAGGCACAAACACCCTTTATCAGGCATTGGAGAAAAGATTGTAAAAGTTCTCCTGGGT